CATCTATTCATTCCCTCCATCCATCACATCTATTCATTCCCTCCATTCATCCCATCTCTTCATTCCCTCCATTTATTATATCTATTCATTCCCTCCATCCATCACATCTATTCATTCCATCCATTCATCCCATCTATTCATTCCCTCCATCCATCCCATCTCTTCATTCCCTCCATCCATTCCATCTATTCATTCCCTCCATCCATCCCATCCATTCATTCCATCCATCCATTCTATTCATTCCAGCCATTCATCCAATCCCATCCCATTTATTGCTCCTTCCATTTCATCTATCCATCCTTTTGTATACTGGTCATTATCACTGCCAATTGTCATCCATTCAGTCCCATCCCATCCATTCCTTCATTCCATCCATCCAATCTTTCCATTCATATACATCATCACTGCCATCATCATTCATTTCATCCTATCCCATTCATCCAACCACCTATTTATCCAAGAATATACCTGGTAAACATAATCATTTGTCATCAGTGATACAGTATATTTACTATATAATTCACTAACCTGATAAGGTATCTGTTTAATATCAGGTGGGATATCAAAGATACATCTGATTGGGATATTCTCCTGCTGTCCATGGTCAAGGTAATGCACAGTAACCTGCCACAGGCACCAACACCATATCAACAACTGATGCTTTACAAGCATTCCCAATAGAGCCCAATAATATATTGGTGGTATTAACAGTGGAGGCTAATAAGAAGTCTTACCACCAACATGGCTGCCAGGGGAAAGGAATAGCTACTGGACTAGCGCTTGCTGATGATGTCAGTAATATGCTGGCTTCCATGTTGCCCCCCATCCCAGCAGCATGCATATTTCACAGACAAAACTTTTAAACTGATAAGCATACAGTAGTACCTTTCACGCTGTCATTATTAATGCCAAAAATAGACCAGAATACAGCTTGAAAGAGGAAGGGTGTTCCTGGTTTTAATACTCTTCACTTACCATCAGGCTTTTGCACAGCTTCACTATTCTCACACGCCAGAACTCAGTTCTCATTTCATTAGTAGCAACACAGATTGTGCCTTCTTTGATAGTAGTTGAACAACCAGTCAAAGAATTGGCAGCAAAATGCTCTCTGTCAAAAAACAAAATGTCTTAGAGGAGGTCATTCCATCTTATTTGAGATTTACCCTTTGAGGCACATTACACCAATTTACAAGCCCCCTTGTAATCTAGGCTCCCACAGTCAACCCATTAAGAAATCACAAGTATTAATAACATTTGGTGATTGAATTAAAAGGTTGAGGGCACCCAAAACTATAAAAATCAAACAAACAAATTGGTTTCAATCACTTACAGTAGCAGCAGCAAAATATGAAATGAAAATTTGCTAATATTCTTAGAGGATTATAAGAGAGGATGTACATACTTCAGTTTGTTTTCAATCTGTGCAACTTTTTTGAGTCCAGCAGAATCTGATCTGATCATCCAAAAACCACCCTTCTTACTGAGAGAACTTCTGATTAAAACTGGGAATTCTTCAGCCAAGGATGATGCCCCTGCTAAACCACAACAAAACATTTGCACTCAAGTTTAGTAGGAAATTAAGAGAGAAATTTAGGATTTGCATCATTTATTCATCTAGCATCTATTGCTTAGCCCCCCTCTCCTCTCCATCTCGTCTTTCCTCTTGCATCTCAGGCTCAATTCCTGGACTCACCGTCACATGTGAGACAGTAGAGTGTTTTTATGTCTCTCCCTTGAATTGAGTGTTAAATTTAATCATTTATTTATCTACTTCTCTATTTTTATTTTTATTTTTTTGTCTCCCCGATTAGTAGGGCACTTGTGCCCGGCTAGAAGATTAGAGACATTAATAAAGTTATTATTATTATTATTATTATTTCTCTGTATTCTCCAGTTTCTATCCCTCCCAAAGACCTAGCATGCTAAGACTTAGATCAGCCCAGAGTTTATTTTAGGGTTTAATCTGTGAGTTAGCTGTGCCCTGACTTAGACCAGCCCAGAGGTTGTCACAGTTCAATTTGTGTGTTAGCTATACCCTGACTTAGATCAGCCCAGAGGTTGTTTCAGGGTTCGATCTGTGAGTTACAGTAGCTGTGCCCTGACTTAGATCAGCCCAGAGGTTGTTTCAGGGTTCAATCTGTGAGTCATCTGTGCCATGACTTTGATAAGCTAAGAGTTAGTTTCAGGGTAAGACTAAAATTTGAAGGTTTTTTATTAATACAGAATTGAAGTTTAAGGCTCCATACACATTAACAGTACCTTGTCCATCCCCAGCTGGTTTAAGATCATTAGAGATGGGCTTATCTGTAAGGTTAGCAGATGATGCACCTTGCATCTCATTGTTTCCACTGCATAACTTAATAACTGACGAAACCTGGAAAGCAATTTTCAAACATAAAACTTATAGCCTTAGACAGCCCCATGGACTCATTCTGAGATAGTGAACATAGTGCATCCTGGTGTAGCTCTGGTACGAACATCTGTTGTTCATCATGCCTTTGATCCAGTAACAGAACTACATATTCAAATGCTTTGAATTTTCTTTACCTTATTCAGATAATGAATTGCTTTATCAACTTTCTCATGGCATTGCTGGATATCATGTAGGCGTTTCTCTGTTTTGATGATAATGTCTCTCAACATTTCCTAGACAATAGATAAAAAAATTAAAATAGAAATATCATGGGCAGATCCAGAAATTTGTTCAGGGAGGGGTGCTGCGCACAAAGTTATCCCAGGGAGGGGTGAACCCCTTAGAATCAAAGGGAAAAAACATTATTTTGTATTGGTTATCTTTGAAGTACAGGGGCACAAAGTCGAACCAGGGAGGGGCGCACACCCCCTGCACCCCTCCCCTGGATCCGCCACTGAATATTGAACAACTGAAAATTTATTTCCGAAATGCCTGACACTAAAAACACTTTATGACAAAGAAGACCCAATGTACTATAGAATTCTAGCTCTTTTTGTGCAAGTAGCATCAGTATTTTCTGGAACACTAGTACAGCCTTTAAAAACATACCTCTTTAAAATATGCTTTAGCAACAGCAACATGCAACAGAGTGGTTCTGAGATGAGTTTCAACAGTCTTATCTCAAGCCTCAAGTCTGGGGCATCATTTCATAGGCAGATTAGCAAATTGAGGCAAAAACATTTGGTTGTAGTAAGTTATATGCGCGTATATCATTTGTATATCATACCCTTTCCTGCTGTTCAGTGTATTGAAGCGTAGTAAGAACATCTTTCAAAAGGTCATTCTCAACGGCCACCAACCTACATTTACAGGTATAATATTCATCAAACATCATGATGATGATAATCTGAATAATGGCTATGATGTTCAGGATGATGATGGTGGTGATGCTGAAGATGAATAGTGGTGGTGATGAAGATGAAAATGTTGATGTTGCTGATAACAGTGATGATGATGATGATTACCGATGATGATGATGGTTTCGATGGTGATGATAGTGACAATGATGATGATGACATCATAGATATCTTAGCTTACTGTATTTCCCAACCATAAATAATGAAGTAAATGAAGTATTATACAATAGACATATATAAATATCTTCATTTATTAGATAACTTACGTTTCTAGATCAGAAACATCTTGTGACAATTTACGTTGTTCTGCCTAGTGTTAGCAGCACAAAAAAGAGTCTTAGAAGATAAACAAGATAAACAAAGAAAACACAGATGGTGAAAAAAAGAAAGCAGAAGTTTCGCACCTTTTCAATGGGTTGTGTTTTGTGGAGTCTAAACACATGTAGAGAATGGACTTGATCATGACAATCCTTGCAAAACCGAACAACAAAATCTATGACAAAAATGAAGGAATATTGTTCAGCATCTTTAAACCAAAATTGGTACTGTATGCTGCTGATAACAGCAAATATATAGTTCCATAACCACTGAATAGGATGATATTAAACCCACTAATCCTTCACACTCTATAACAAGTGGGGGGGGGGGGGAGGTATGAACATATACAGACTGCTAAATATACCCTCCTCAGACCCTCCCCACCTCAACATTGCAAGAACTATTTTGATGATGGTTGGTAAATTAACATTACATGCTAGAGTACAAACACTAAAAGTGTGCAACACTTTGCCCTATTTAGTAGTAAATAGTGCCAATTAAACAATAGAAAACAATAGGATTAGCATAATTTAGCAGTATTTAGTGGTATTTATGTTACACACTTATAGTGTTTGTACTCTAATATTTGTGAACACCAATAACTAGCGTTAGTTTAGCCTACTGTACTGTCTTATAGACCCTCCCCACCCCTTGGGAATTCCAACCCCCTTCTAAGGCGTGAGGAATGGACACTTTCTGGATTTAAAAGATATTAAACAAACTTCCAATGTCATTGAGACAGATATCTTAAGCTTGGAAATTATCATACTTGGAATCATTTTACACGAGATTCCAGAATGACAGCGTTTACAATGTGCACTTTCTTCATTTAAAATATTCAAAACTTTGAAAACATCTTAAAAATGAGCAAAAAAACTATGTCTAGAAAAACTACACTTAATGAATGGAAGATTAAATGATGAAATAAGAATATTTTACGAGGTATTTTAAAAAAAGTTCTGAATGACAACAGAGACAAACAAACAAACCTGGTTTGCAGTCGAAGCATCTGAAATCAGCGTGAACATTGTCATGATTATAACACGTATCAGACATGTTTGAATCGTTTACACCAACATTTCATGGATTACTTATCTCAGAGATAGAGAAAAATCCTTCAGATTATCAGAAAATTTGGCTTTCCACTCTACAGCTGAACGAAGTTTGAATTTCGCACCTTCGAAACCCACTACACCACATGCATGGACTTCCGGAGCCATTCCGATAACATACTTCCGGAGCCATTCCGATCATATATTGATTGAGCTGTCGGTCTTTTACACAGGAAGCCCAATTGAGTCGTTTTAAGGTGACTGCCCACTTTTGGAAATTGATTTAAGCTTTTTTAAAAACTTGGATTTTCCAAATTGAAATTTAATGCTGATTCCAAATCTGGAAAGAAAAATAGGGTGTCCCGAGCTCGTTTTCGAGATAATCAGCATTTAATGGAAGCCTACGCACGAGCTTTTGGAGTAAAAATTGCGCCACCGGAAGTGATTAGAAAAAAATTAAGATGAATAAGATAATAGTTATTTGCAGACTATATGATTGCACGAACGAAGTCCAGTCAATCCTTCTACAATAATACATGGATATTTTCGACAAAAAGACAGGGAGATACATTGATTTGTCATATTTTGTAGTTTCGGTGCTCTTAAAAAATCTCATAAAGTCGAACAAAAATCCCTAC